TTTTTTTTTCATTTTCGGCGAAAAAATTAAGTTTCTCCAATCTTCTCAAAACTCTGGATTATGATAGAGGGCTGTGAGACTTTGACCTGAGTGCAAAAATGGAGGCTCTAGACCCTTCCAGAGCTGAGATATCAAAATTCAAAATTTCGACCCGAAAAAAAAACGACAGTGTTACCCCTTTCGTTTTTTTTCATTTTCGGGCAAAAAATTAAGTTTTTCCAATCTTCTCAAAACTCTGGATTATGATAGAGGGCTGTGAGACTTTGACCTGAGTGCAAAAATGGAGGCTCTAGACCCTTCCAGGGCTGAGATATCAAAATTCAAAATTTCGACGCGAAAAAAAAACGACAGTGTTACCCCTTTCGTTTTTTTCATTTTCGGGCGAAAAATTAAGTTTCTCCAATCTTCTCAAAACTCTGGATTATGATAGAGAGCTGTGAAACTTTGACCTGAGTGCAAAAATGGAGGCTCTAGACCCTTCCAGAGCTGAGATATAAAAATTCAAAATTTCGACCCGAAAAAAAAACAACAGTGTTATCCCTTTCGTTTTTTTTCAGTTTCGCGCAAAAAATTAAGTTTCTCCAATCTTCTCAAAACTCTGGATTATAATAGAGGGCTGTGAGACTTTGACCTGAGTGCGAAAATGGAGACTCTAGACCCTTCCAGAGCTGAGATATCAAAATTAAAAATTTCGACCCGAAAAAAAAAAAAACGACAGTGTTACCCCTTTCGTTTTTTTTTTCATTTTCGGGCGAAAAATGAAGTTTCTCCAATCTTCTCAAAACTCTGGATTATGATAGAGGGCTGTGAGACTTTGACCTGAGTGCAAAAATGGAGGCTCTAGACCCTTCCAGAGCTGAGATATCAAAATTCAAAATTTCGACCCGAAAAAAAAACGACAGTGTTACCCCTTTCGTTTTTTTTTTTTTTTCGGGCGAAAAATTAAGTTTCTCCAATCTTCTCAAAACTCTGGATTATGATAGAGGGCTGTGAGACTTTGACCTGAGTGCAAAAATGGAGGCTCTAGACCCTTCCAGAGCTGAGATATCAAAATTCAAAATTTCGACCCGAAAAAAAAAACGACAGTGTTACCCCTTTTGTTTTTTTTTTCATTTTCGGGCGAAAAATTAAGTTTCTCCAATCTTCTCAAACCTCTGAATTCTGATAGAGGGCCACGAGACTTTGACCTGAGTGCAAAAATGGAGGCTCTAGACCCTTCTAGAGCTTAGATATCAAAATTCAAAATTTCGACCCGAAAAAAAAACGACAGTGTTACCCCTTTCGTTTTTTTTCATTTTCGGGCGAAAAATTAAGTTTCTCCAATCTTCTCAAAACTCTGGATTATGATAGAGGGCCTTGAGACTTTCACCTGAGTGCAAAAATGGAGGCTCTAGACCCTTCCAGAGCTGAGATATCAAAATTCAAAATTTCGACCCGAAAAAAAACGACAGTGTTACCCCTTTCGTTTTTTTTTCATTTTCGGGCGAAAAATTAAGTTTCTCCAATCTTCTCAAAACTCTGGATTATGATAGAGGGCTGTGAAACTTTGACCTGAGTGCAAAAATGGAGGCTCTAGACCCTTCCAGAGCTGAGATATCAAAATTCAAAATTTCGACCCGAAAAAAAAACGACACTGTTACCCCTTTCGTTTTTTTTTTTCATTTTCGGGCGAAAAATTAAGTTTCTCCAATCTTCTCAAAACTCTGGATAATGATAGAGGGCTGTGAGACTTTGACCTGAGTGCAAAAATTGAGGCTCTAGACCCTTCCAGAGCTGAGATATCGAAACTCAAAATTTCGACCCGAAAAAAAAACGACAGTGTTACCCCTTTCGTTTTTTTCGTTTTCGGGCGAAAAATTAAGTTTCTCCAATCTTCTCAAAACTCTGGATTATGATAGAGGGCTTTGAGACTTTGACCTGAGTGCAAAAATGGAGACTCTAGACCCTTCTAGAGCTGAGATATCAAAATTCAAAATTTCGACCCGAAAAAAAAAACGACAGTGTTACCCCTTTCGTTTTTTTTCATTTTCGGGCGAAAAATTAAGTTTCTCCAATCTTCTCAAATCTCTGGATTATGATAGAGGGCTGTGAGACTTTGACCTGAGTGCAAAAATGGAGGATCTAGACCCTTCCAGAGCTGAGATATCAAAATTCAAAATTTCGACCCGAAAAAAAAAAACGACAGTGTTACCCCTTTCGTTTTTTTTTCATTTCGGGCGAAAAATTAAGTTTCTCCAATCTTCTCAAAACTCTGAATTCTGATAGAGGGCCACGAGACTTTGACCTGAGTGCAAAAATGGAGGCTCTAGACCCTTCTAGAGCTGAGATATCGAAATTCAAAATTTCGACCCGAAAAAAAAAAACGACAGTGTTACCCCTTTCGTTTTTTTTCGTTTTCGGGCGAAAAAATTAAGTTTCTCCAATCTTCTCAAAACTCTGGATTATGATAGAGGGCTGTGAGACTTTGACCTGAGTGCAAAAATGGAGGATCTAGACCCTTCCAGAGCTGAGATATCAAAATTCAAAATTTCGACCCGAAAAAAAAAAACGACAGTGTTACCCCTTTCGTTTTTTTTCATTTTCGGGCGAAAAATTAAGTTTCTCCAATCTTCTCAAATCTCTGGATTATGATAGAGGGCTGTGAGACTTTGACCTGAGTGCAAAAATGGAGGCTCTAGACCCTTCCAGAGTTGAGATATCAAAATTCAAAATTTCGACCGAAAAAAAAAACGACAGTGTTACCCCTTTTGTTTTTTTTTTCATTTTCGGGCGAAAAATTAAGTTTCTCCAATCTTCTCAAAACTCTGAATTCTGATAGAGGGCCACGAGACTTTGACCTGAGTGCAAAAATGGAGGCTCTAGACCCTTCTAGAGCTGAGATATCGAAATTCAAAATTTCGACCCGAAAAAAAAAAAACGACAGTGTTACCCCTTTCGTTTTTTTCCGTTTTCGGGCGAAAAATTAAGTTTCTCCAATCTTCTCAAAAATATGGATTATGATAGAGGGCTGTGAGACTTTGACCTGAGTGCAAAAATAGAGGCTCTAGACCCTTCCAGAGCTGAGATATCAAAATTCAAAATTTTGACCCGAAAAAAAAACGACAGTGTTACCCCTTTCGTTTTTTTTTCATTTTCGGGCGAAAAATTAAGTTTCTCCAATCTTCTCAAAACTCTGGATTCTGATAGAGGGCTGTGAGACTTTGACCTGAGTGCAAAAATGGAGGCTCTAGACTCTTCCAGAGCTGAGATATCAAAATTCAAAATTTCGACCCGAAAAAAAAACGACAGTGTTACCCCTTTCGTTTTTTTCCATTTTCGGGCGAAAAATTAAGTTTCTCCAATCTTCTCAAAACTCTGGATTATGATAGAGGGCTGTGAGACTTTGACCTGAGTGCGAAAATGGAGGCTCTAGACCCTTCCAGAGCTGAGATATCAAAATTCAAAATTTCGACCCGAAAAAAACAACAGTAGTGTTACCCCTTTCGTTTTTTTTCATTTTCGGGCGAAAAAGTAAGTTTCTCCAATCTTCTCAAAACTCTGAATTCTGATAGAGGGCCACGAGACTTTGACCTGAGTGCAAAAATTGAGGCTCTAGACCCTTCTAGAACTGAGATATCGAAATTCAAAATTTCGACCCGAAAAAAAAACAACAGTGTTACCCCTTTCGTTTTTTTTCGTTTTCGGGCGAAAAAGTAAGTTTCTCCAATCTTCTCAAAACTCTGAATTCTGATAGAGGGCCACGAGACTTTGACCTGAGTGCAAAAATGGAGGCTCTAGACCCTTCCAGAGCTGAGATATCAAAATTCAAAATTTCGACCCGAAAAAAAAAACGACAGTGTTACCCCTTTCGTTTTTTTTCATTTTCGGGCGAAAAATTAAGTTTCTCCAATCTTCTCAAAACTCTGAATTCTGATAGAGGGCCACGAGACTTTGACCTGAGTGCAAAAATCGAGGCTCTAGACCCTTCTAGAACTGAGATATCGAAATTCAAAATTTCGACCCGAAAAAAACAACAACAGTGTTACCCCTTTCGTTTTTTTTCGTTTTCGGGCGAAAAAGTAAGTTTCTCCAATCTTCTCAAAACTCTGAATTCTGATAGAGGGCCACGAGACTTTGACCTGAGTGCAAAAATGGAGGCTCTAGACCCTTCCAGAGCTGAGATATTGAGAGTTTTATAATGGCATAAATGCTACGTGGGATCTCAATCTCATTTATAAAAATGCCTTCTATATTTCTTTTCACTCCACTGTACTCCACCACAGGCGACCGCACGTACGGAATTGACACTTGGTTATTGTCATTTCACCATATTTTTGAACAGACAGTGTGTTTACTGTGAAATATTACTGTGTATTTTCAGTTTTAATTTATATTTCCTTCGTAAGTTTGGTCTTAAATTTAATTTAGAAGTGGTATTAAAAAGTCTTAAATTTAAATTGTTTATACTTGTAGCCACCCTGATTAAAGTAAGTTCTCTCTCGTGTTATAGAGCGTAAACTGTCAAATACACACACAGTTCACAAACACAGTATGAGAATGTAATCATCAGGGAGAGAAACCGCATGTGTGCATTAGATCTGTGTATTAAAGAGACAGCAGCGTAACATTAGTAAGATTAACATTTCATTTTTATTTTACATCATTGCAACAGCAAAGGAAAAAATAAACAAAACTGGCAAACGTTGAACCACTCGCTGTTCCCGTTCTACTGCGCGTCACACACACACACATCATAATCATAATCACATTCAGCCATACTTTAAAAAATGGAACAAGGATAGAATTAAAAATGTTCATTCATTCATTCATTAGCATGTTTCCAATAAACAGACATTGTTGCATTGTCTCTCTCTCACACACACACACACACACACACACACAATAACTGGATGTGTATAATGACAGCATTCTTATTGGATGTTTGAAAACCAAACGATTTCATCCACATAAACTGATAAATTCTCAATCTAAGTAAAAACCATTCAGAAGCATTCTGGGATTAAGAAAGACTACCTCATGATATTTATTGGTGGCTTTTAAACCTCAGTATAAATACATAGCCGGTTATTATTTCAGATATCTGATGCTTGCACTTGATTACCTGCGGTTACACACTCGCATGCCTCAAAGATATTCAGACCACATGTGATCCGGTCTGATTTAAAGTAAGTAATCGGACGTGTTTTAATGATGCCGTTACAGGAGACAGAAGAGTATATGACAGAGTTTCAGTATTTACACATTATCATCATGTTTAGTTCTGCTTCTACAATAACACAGCAACCAAAATGAAACACACACACACACAAAACATCTACGTTGTCATACAATTCACTCAGCAATTCGGAAGGATACACTATCTTTGGTCACAAAATGAGAAAATAAACGTAGTCAGGGAAATAAGAAACACATTCAGCCATGAAGCGGTTCAAAAGTTTACATTATTTGCCGTGAATGAGAAGATCAAGCAATAATAAATACGAAAAGATCAGACGGGATCTGGGAGCGAGTGAAGAATTATTAGCGTACGTAGAAAGGCCTAGGGAGTGTGTGTGAAGGGTTATTGTTCGTCCTGCTCTCCGGCGTCCGGCTCCGGCGTACAGTAGCGCTGAAGCAGCCGGTGCAGGTGCTCCTGGAGGTCGTGGGGTCGCGGGACGTCCAGCGTGTCCTCCAGCCGCTCCAGGTGCGTTTGTTTGGTTTGGCCGTCCTTCACTACCGTTCGCTTCTGGGTGCGTGTCTTATGCATGCGGGTCCTACAAATCAACACATCAGAGTCACGACACCGGGGAACATCTTGAAACCTCGACAGCATACATCCGGAACACACACGGCCCAGATGTGGGCACTATGTTGTTAATGAATGCTTTAGTTATACTTTCCACATATTAAAGAAGCCATATCACACCCTTGATGTTGTTTTTGGTTATCCTGCTTGAATGTTTATTTCCCTGACAACAAAACAGTGTCGTTCCAGATCCGGCCCACATCTGGTACACCTGGTTTGTGGGCCGACACTATATTGCTGTCTGGGAACAAACAATTTCCTGTTGGTGTAAGCTAATGACTGTTTTTTTAGCCTGAGAAAAAGTGTACTGAATGCATTCTTGAAATTTAATTTAGAGATGCACCGATATGAACATTTTGGCCGATACCGATAACCGATAATTCTTTATATCTGAAAGCCAATAACCGATAATTATTTATATTTGAAAGCCGATAACCGACAATTCTTTAAAAACCGATAATTATTTATATCTGAAAGCCAATAACCGATAATTATTTATATTTGAAAGCCGATAACCGATAATTCTTTAAAAACCGATAATTCTTTATATTTGAAAGCCAATAACCGATAATTCTTTAAAAACCGACAATTCTTTATATTTGAAAGCCGATAACCGATAATTCTTTAAAAAACGATAATTCTTTATATTTGAAAGCCAATAACCGATAATTCTTTAAAAACCGACAATTCTTTATATTTGAAAGCCGATAACCGATAATTCTTTAAAAACGATAATTGTTTATATTTGAAAGCCAATAACCGATAATTCTTTAAAAACGACAATTCTTTATATTTGAAAGCCGATAACCGATAATTCTTTTTATCTGAAAGCCGATAATTCTTTATATTTGAAAGCCGATAACCGATAATTCTTCAAAAAAACGATAATTCTTTATATTGAAAGCCAATAACCGATAATTCTTTAAAAACCGACAATTCTTTATATTTGAAAGCCGATAACCGATAATTCTTTTTATCTGGAAGCCGATAATTCTTTATATTGGAAAGCCGATAACCGATAATTATTTATAAACCGATAATTCTTTATATTTGAAAGCCAATAACCGATAATTCTTTAAAAACCGACAATTCTTTATATTTGAAAGCCAATAACCGATAATTCTTTAAAAACCGACAATTCTTTATATTTGAAAGCCGATAACCGATAATTCTTTTTATCTGAAAGCCGATAATTCTTTATATTGGAAAGCCGATAACCGATAATTCTTTAAAAAACCGATAATTCTTTATATTTGAAAGCCGATAACCGATAATTCTTTAAGAAACAATAATTCTTTATATTTGAAAGCCAATAACCGATAATTCTTTAAAAACCGACAATTCTTTATATTTGAAAGCCGATAACCGATAATTCTTTATATTTGAAAGCCGATAACCGATATATCGGCCGATAAATCTAAATCTGAATTTTTATATAATTTTTGAGAGCCTCATTACAAAAAGTCTCATTAAAAGCCACGTCTTAATCACACAATTATGAGGCTCTCGTTATGATTTTATGTAGCCGATATGACCACAGCACTTGTTTTGAAGTGATTCCAATCATATTTCAAGCGACTCAAACCACTCATGTTGAACAGTGCGCACCTGAAGCGTCTCAGCTGAAGGAAATAATACACAATTTATCGGCTTTAAAATATCGGGCACATTTTTTTATCGTCTGATACCGATAACGTTAAAAATGAACATTTATCGGATGATACCGATACGATGGGCGATATATCGTGCATCCCTAATTTCAGTGGAGTGAGTACAGTAAAGTGTTAGTAAAATAACACTCTGTTAGAACAACACAAGGCAGTTTGGTTTTTAACACACACACACACACGCCTCTACAATGCCTTGTTTTAAAATGCCATTGTTTCTGGTTTAGCCTCAACTTTGAGTAAATGGTGAAAACTCAAAGACACCGGTCGTCTTAGGAAATGCACACTTGTTGCAACACTTGGTGGATTAGGTATTGTTAACTGCTTTTTTATCATCATCATCATCATCATCATCATCATCACACCATTCCCCTAATCTGTCCAGACCTTCTGACCACTGATCCGTCCTCTTTCACCGTCTCTCTCTCTACTAAATGAGGCAGGTGCACTTTCCCAAAGCTTCCTACATAGCCCAAAGCCTAGACATACGAGAGAGAGATCACTCGTTTAACAGCACTCACAGCTCAACAGCGAACACTAGTGGTGAAACACGTCCTGAAGCTTCGAATCTTTGATCTGAACCAGTGATTCGGAGCGAGTATCAAACTGCCAAACTCACATGATTACAGTAAGCGAGGCTTCATTACAGTGTCGCTGTTTCAAAACGTTTTCCCACGTCAATGATTCGCTGCTAGAGGGCGATCTCTGTGAACTCATGAACCAGTGTCTATGCATGATTTTTACCTGATCTCGGATCAGTTTTATACATTTGTAGACATTTACTGACACATTAATATAATACGTTTTCTATAATATTATATAAAAGAAAGAGTTGTAGTTAAAAGTCTCTTACTGGTCTGGTTAACCAAGCTCTCCATTAAACTAAGAAAATAAACCCAACAATTTAATAAAATAAATAGCTCATATTATAGAGACTCTCCATGTTTAATGTTATTGGATGATTTGTTAACTGAATTTAATACATGACAGCTTCAATGAAACTGCATTTGGTTTGTAAAAGGTGTTTTTCTGCATGTTTTGACTGTTTCCGCTGCATTTACACTGATCTGACCAGCAGGGGTCGCCAAACAGTGAATCATTTAGTGAGTCAATTGATTCAAAGCTTCAAAACCCCATCACTAGTGACCACTCTGAACTTGAGCTAGTGGTACAAAAAAATAATATTTACTTTACTATTAACTATTGACCAAAAGTGTATTTGGAAACCACCCATAAACATATTCCAAACATCATTGCATTAGATAACAACCAAATATCTCGACCTTTTCAAAGTCGTCTTTGGCTGATGGGAGATCCGATGAGAGCGAAGGGTCCCCGATGAGTTTCTCCAGGCGTTCCCCTTGCACAACCATGGTTTTGACGACCTTGCTGACCTTCCGACCTTGGACGGGCTCGTCCTCGAACTCAGAAGCCGTCGCCCCGGTGTACGAGAAGGGTTCAGAGAAGGTCACCTGAAATGAGATGTCAATACAACAATTAGCATTGCCTTTATAGAGGAGGCCTGTACGATTATGAGCAACGTACTGTACAGTGCCTTCCAGATATACCGTACATCTGTTCAGGAATTGAGCTCAAATTTGTGGTCCCTTTTGTTGTATTGAAATATTGTATGTTATTATCATTGAACGCCTCAATAGTTTGCGTCCACACGAGGAAACATCAACAACAGAACAAATCGCGAGCAGAATGCTATTGAAGAGTTAGGATTTCTAAATGTATCACTAAATTATTATATATTAGTGTAAACACCAAGATAACCAAATTAGCGTTCACACCAAGATAACCATATTAGCGTTCACACTAAGAGCGTTCACAACAAGATACCCAGACAGCAAACTGACATTGAATCAACGTGGAAACGACGTCTCTCATGACATTGAAACAACGTTGATTTGCTCATCAAATTAATGTTGAACCAACATCAGACGCGGCATTCTTCAAAGCTAAATGAAATCGAAAATTGGTTTGCTTTCATAACGTTGAAACAACGCGTTGATTTCAAGTTGATTTTCCGTTAGTTTTGAAAGAATGACGCATCTGACGTTGGATCAACGTTAATTCGATGAGCAAAACAATGTCAGATCAACGTTGTTTCGATGTCATATTTCCACGCTGATTCAACGTCAGTTTGCTATCTGGGTAACTATATTAGCATTCACACCAAGATAACCAAATTAGCGTTCACACCAAGATAACCATATTAGCATTCACACCAAGATTACCCCAGATAGCAAACTGACATTGAATCAACGTGGAAATATGACATCGAAACAACGTTGATCTGACATTGTTTTGCTCATCGAATTAACGTTGAAGCAACGTCAGACGCGTCATTCTTTCAAAACTAACGGAAAATCAACTTGAAATCAACGCGTTGTTTCAACGTTATGAAAGCAAACCAATTTTCGATTTTCATTTAGCTTTGAAGAATGCCGCGTCTGACGTTGGTTCAACGTTAATTCGATGAGCAAAATCAACGTTGTTTCAATGTCATGAGAGACGTCGTTTCCACGCTGATTCAATGTCAGTTTGCTGTCTGGGACTATATTAGCGTTCACACCAAGATAACCATATTAGCGTTCACACCAAGATAACTATATTAGCATTCACACTAAGAGCGTTCACACCAAGATAACCAAATTAGCTTTCACACCAAGATAACCATATTAGCGTTCACACCAAGATAACCATATTAGCGTTCACACCAAGATAACCATATTAGCATTCACACCAAGATAACCATATTAGCATTCACACTAAGAGCGTTCACACCAAGATAACTATATTAGCGTTCACACCAAGATAACCATATTAGCGTTCACACCAAGATAACCATATTAGCATTCACACTAAGAGCGTTCACACCAAGATAACTATATTAGCGTTCACACCAAGATAACCATATTAGCGTTCACACCAAGATAACTATATTAGCATTCACACTAAGAGCGTTCACACCAAGATAACTATATTAGCGTTCACACCAAGATAACCATATTAGCGTTCACACCAAGATAACCATATTAGCATTCACACTAAGAGCGTTCACACCAAGATAACTATATTAGCGTTCACACCAAGATAACCATATTAGCGTTCACACCAAGATAACTATATTAGCATTCACACTAAGAGCGTTCACACCAAGATAACTATATTAGCGTTCACACCAAGATAACCATATTAGCGTTCACACCAAGATAACCATATTAGCGTTCACACCAAGATAACTATATTAGCATTCACACTAAGAGCGTTCACACCAAGATAACTATATTAGCGTTCACACCAAGATAACCATATTAGCGTTCACACCAAGATAACTATATTAGCATTCACACTAAGAGCGTTCACACCAAGATAACTATATTAGCGTTCACACCAAGATAACCATATTAGCGTTCACACCAAGATAACTATATTAGCGTTCACACTAAGAGCGTTCACACCAAGATAACCATATTAGCGTTCACACCAAGATAACTATATTAGCGTTCACACCAAGATAACCATATTAGCGTTCACACCAAGATAACTATATTAGCATTCACACTAAGAGCGTTCACACCAAGATAACCATATTAGCATTCACACTAAGAGCGTTCACACCAAGATAACTATATTAGCGTTCACACCAAGATAACCATATTAGCGTTCACACCAAGATAACTATATTAGCGTTCACACCAAGATAACCATATTAGCGTTCACACCAAGATAATTATATTAGCGACAGGTTTCCCACCTCGGTCTGATCTCCGCCGCTCTTCACCACCGTCCTCTTCACGACTTTAGAGAAACCGTCAGCCTCGTCCACAGCGACGACTTCCTGTCTCGGTCCCTCTGACATCACTTCCTCTCGCTCTACTCCATCTGCTGACACAAACTTACGGATGACTTTCCTCGTTATCTGTGGGGAGACAAGGATGAAAATGATCATGCTATGCAGCATATTAAAAAATAATAATTTTAATATAATTTAATATTTTTATTGACATTTTCACAACTTATTCTGGTCAAGAACCACAGACAGGAAGACAGCGTCTGATTGGATTGTCAAGTGACCAATCACAATGTGCTTAGTTCAGTGTGACGTTTAGTGGCGGGTAGTTTCAGATACAGACGTCATGCTTTTATTGTGAGTAAAAAGTGTAACTTGACGAGACTAGTTTAACTCTTTCCCCGCCAGCATTAAAATAATAATAATTGCCAGCCATTCTTGATCATTTTCACAAAGCTTTCATGCCCCCAGAATTTTTTTTTTTTATTATTTAAACAAACTTAAAGCAATAAAGCAGTTTATTTTCACTTCATGGATTATTTATCAACTACACTTGAAAGTGGGCAAGTAACAACGTTTTGAACAAAAAACTCAAGTCAAGTATATAATGTGTGTAAGCAATGCTTTTATCACTGTTTTCTGCTTCTTCTTCGTGTGTGATTTGATCCGTAGATTCTGCACTCTTTCAGAGGATGTGTAACAGCGCCCCCTACCGTATAACAGTGAACACACGGGCACGGGAAAGGTTGTCATGCCATGAACCTCACAAACTTAATAATCAAACTCATTCCTCTTTTAAAAAACCTAAAAAAACTATACGTGAATTATTCTAAAGGCATCCTGGATTCTGAGGCAGCATCTTAACTGTAGCAAATGCAGGGCAAATATGGACGTAACATTGGACTGAATCTGTGTAAAGACAGAAAAAACATTTACCTTTTTGACCACCATGTTTCCATACTCGTCAGTGTATTGCTCTTCTGTCACGGTCTGAGGAGGGATTTCAGGCATCTCGTCACCCTAAAAAACAAAAAAACAAACAAAAAAAATATTTTCTTTTTTTGTTTCTGACTATGAGATTTAAAATAATGTTATTGGAAAAGGTTAACTTCAGTCCTGGAAATTAAACATAAAGTTACAGTTTTCTTTCGTCAAACCAGCAAATGAAAATGCTTCCATTGTTCAATATCCCCCCAACATGGAAACGGGGGTCCACTGACACACACACCCAAAGCATGTACCTGGATGATAACACGGCGCCGCACCACCCTGGTGGTCAAAACCTCCTCCTCTGAACTATCAGACAGCAAACCTAGTTCCTCAGCTACTTCCTGAGAGTAGCAGAAGTGCATTGTGGTCTTCAGTACTATTGCATATCTTATTTACGTGCATGTCACACCATGCAAATGTACTCAGAAAGTTCCTTTTATCTTTTTTTAGTTATACTACCCAGCAATGTAACAAATTTTGATGCACACCAGATATTAGTATCATTAAACGATGACTGCACTGCTGGGGATGAAAATCCACCAAAATCATGCAGTCAAAAAAAGTGCAAAAGTATTATTATTTTTCAATGCTTGTCAATCATGACATTATATCGAATAATTAAAGTTACTTAAAGGAGTAGTTCACTTTTGAAAAAACTTTTGCTGATAATTTACTCGCCCCCATGTCATTCAAGATGTCCATGTCTTTCCTCAGTCGAAAAGAAATTAATTTTTGATGAAAACATTCCAGGATTTTCTCCATATAATGGACTTCAATGGAAACCAGTCAGTCCAAGGTCCAAAAGACAGTTAATAACAGTTTCAGATGCAGCTTCAAATGTCTTTAAACGACACCAGACGATGAATAAGGGTCTTATCATGCGAAACGATCGGTTATTTCAAAACTTATTCCAAAAATGTAACTTTTCCAAGGAGAAATGCTAGCCTTGCTCTATTCTGTGAGGCGTGTTTGTAACTTCACGTAATACGCAATTACGTTCAAAAGGTCACGGGCGACGTAGCCGGAAGTACAGAGTCAGTGTTTACAAGTTGAACGCATAGGTTGAACGTGCAAACTAACTCAAACGCTGTTTACAAAAAAATGAATTAAAAGGTAAAACAACGATGTCGGACAATTTTGATTCTGTACTTCCGGCTACGTCGCCCGTGACCTTTTGAACGTAATTACGTTTTACGTGACGTTACAAACACGCCTCATAGAATAGAGCAAGGCTAGCATTTGTCCTTAGAAAAGTTACATTTTTGGAATAAGTTTTGAAATGACCGCTCGTTTCGCATGATAAGACCCTTATTCATCGTCTGGTGTCGTTTAAAGCTGCATCTGAAACTGTTATTAACTGTCTTTTGGACCTTGGACCGTCTGGTTCCCATTGAAGTCCATTATACGGAGAAAATCCTGGAATGTTTTCATCAAAAACCTTAATTTCTTTTCGACTGAAGAAAGAAAGACATGGACATCTTGGATGACACGGGTGTGAGTAAATTATCAGCAGAAGTTTTTTTCAAAAGTGAACTACTCCTTTAAAGCTAACACAATCTCAATCACTATTTTGGTAAACTGGTGGCTAATTCATATCTCATACATACATTTTTGTAAGATCTGCTTACTCCCCAGGGACGGCCATGTTTGGGATGGACCGTTTTTCTGCACAACTCAGTTCATACAAATTCATATGAAATCGCCACCTCGTAACATCGGTTTCCCGTGAGATCAGATTGGGTGCACTCATACAAACTGATTTTTAATTGAAACGGCAAACGTTAGCTTGCTGGCATTGAAATGTTCCATTAGGGCTTGAGTCAGTGTGTTAGCACAGCACTCTTCCTCACAAACTGAGGTCATGCTAGATGGCTTACCCTCCCTAGAAAGTCATCATCATCATCATCATCATCATCATACTCTATTCCCTTCATTGGAGGTAGCTCTTCAGCAAATGAATGATCACCTGTATAACCACCATAAGGGAATGCCTTCTCCTCACCAGTGTATTCGTCCTCTGGCTCAAGAACTATGGGGAGGTCCTCACTGCCCCAGGATAGGGGCCGATCGTCCTTTTTCAACTGGGTGTACTCTCGAAGTTTAGGTATACCTGTCAGGTATTCAGGGGTGCTTGATAAAGATGGAAGTTCCTCAACTTGGTAAATTGCTTGAGGAACATCTAAAAGGTCTGATGATCCAACCTCTGGCTCAGATGCATCAGAAAATGTTTGTTGGCAATCAAAAAACTCAGCATCTGACTCAGTGCTATCCGCGTGAACAGGTCTTGGTCTGGTGTTGAGATTGAGACTGTAAAGTGGAGAGTCAACATCTAAAGCTAAGGAGGCATCTAACTGCATCTGGTCGCCCGTCAGGTTTATAGGCATCTCAGAGGCTTTGAGCTCTTGAGTCGCTTCCAGATTACAAGGTGTCATGGCAGCTACAGGTAAGGCTAAACTTGATTCAGGCACATCACCACCAAATGATGGTGACGTCTGTTCAAGCACTTCAGTAGAAGAAATCCCCTCGCTTAGAGATCCATGGGACTCGCTAATCATTGGAGAGATTGAACTTAAATCAGTTAGTGACATCTGAATGCCTGTCTTCACAGATCTTGAAAGCAAAGTTTTGTAATCAGGTGATTCGAGACTCGAACCAAATGCAGAGGAATCAATTGGATGTAGTTCAACTCTTCTGTGAGAGTCTTTGAGATAAAACTGAAAAGGCTTCACTTCTTGCACATTTGATGCTTTAGGCTCTTTAGGTGATGAATCAGGAGTGGATTTGTGGGTCTCCAAGTCAAAGACTGGTTGAGATCTGTTCTGCTCAGGTATATTGGGGACACGTGTGGCTAGGTGTGACTCTCTCGACTTTATTTGAGGCTCTAAACTTTTTGAAATGGAACTTAAATCTTTCACTTGGGGCTCTGAATGAATGACCTTTGAGACATTTTCCTGTGCAAAATGAAAGGGAAGAAAACAATGTTTCTCCCAATATGTAATAATTACGTCACACAAACGCAATAGATTTTGTTGCATGGAAAGATGGAAAAACAGATGGATTAACAGTTCGTGGAGATCTACCTTCCTGCAAAGCTCAGCTCCAACACTAATCAAACACTAATGAACCAGCTAATTACGATCTTCAGGAGCAGTTGATAATTACAGACAGATGTGTTGGATGAGGGTTAGATCTGAACTCTAAGGCCCCGTCCACACTACTGCGTTTTCGTTTAAAAACGGAAACCTTTTGCTACAATTGCACCTCCCGTCCAGACTAAAACGGGAAAAACGAAGACCTAAAACGGAGAAGTTTAGAAACGCTGCAGCTCCGTTTTGCGTTTTGAATCTCCGGAGGGTGTTTTCGCGTAGACGGGAAAAAACGTAGGACTTCAGAAACGCTGACGTTTCACTGATAACGCTGTTATCAGTCATGACGTATCCTTCCCTGATTCGTCAAGAGATCATTTCTAATACGCAGATAAAACGCTGGTGTGTACAGAGATCGTATTCGTTTTAACTCTCCGTTTTTAAACAAAAACGCAGTAGTGTGGAGGGGCCTAACTGTGCGTTCACACTAGACGCACTAGACATACCGCATCTAGTTATACAAAAGGATGTCTCGTATATTGAAATAAAGTTTTAAGTGATAAAATATTTGCTTTGTTGTGCATTGGAACCACATCAGGCTTTTAGTCGTATTACAAAATCATTTATCGAAGCATCCAGATACTTCACCATGTGAGCAAGCAGCTAGACTCCTGATTGGTTAACGCGAATTCGCGTGAATGCACAAATAGCACTAACTAAATCATTCGCGCGTAACGTGTTTAACGCGCCAGACGCTCAATTCGAATGAGGCGTATTCGTGTCTACCATGCCGCGCTCTATGCCTAATTCGCGCCGCAAGAATTTTTTACCCGCGTAACACGTCTTTGCATTGACTTAACATTGAAATCACTCACGCCTGACGCGCTATTCATGTCCGGTGCGAACGCACCATAAAGGTTGGTAAATCTCCAGGAACAGGATTGGGCACCACTGCTCCAAGGAGAAGATTCAAACATGCCGTTTACATTCTCAGAATTGACCATTTTCTCAACACCGCTAAAACTACATGCTTGGGCTACAGTTGTCTATTTAGTCTTGATTTGTTAGTAGATCCAGAATTGTGAAATTCCCTGTTTCAAGCCTCTTAGTTTCACACAAGATTCACAGCAGCATGCTCAATCTCTTACCCCTATTTTGGTGTCTTGAGGGGCTAGTTTTCTTGAATCATGTCCTAGATCATCTTTTCGTTGCTGTGAACTTTCCATCTGTTGATTGTCATCTCTTTTATGGATTATGAGGCCTTTGCTAGTCTCATCTTTTGCAGATGCACCTGTTGCGGTGAATATATCCCTTTCTTCACAGTAAGAAATTGTCTGTGTTACACCTTCTGTGTCCTTCTGTGCTTGCTCTAAGGCTATATCATGAGATGGGGTTGGTTTTAGCTCCTCATCGAATGAACACTCAGCAGTTTGAAGCCCCTCTGTTTCAGGTGGAGACTTGATTTGTTCTGTGCATTGCTCAAATGTCACTCGATTCAGCAAGGGAGAATCATCTTTGAGGACAGATAGATCTTTCGTAATCTCATCAATGTCAGAAAATGACAAATAACTCAAATTCTCATAAAACTCCTCGTATTCAGATTCAATCACTGATTCGGGTTGATAAATTGCCTCAAAATCTAAAGGCTCTGGAGTAACAATTTCAGTTAGTTCTGTTTCTAACGTTGCAGCTTCAGGTGATGGGTTTCGCAATTCTGTTTCGTGACAGAACATCTGAGGTGATGAGGATCTAGAATCTGTGTCTGAAATATCAGAGATAGATGATAAAGGTCTGTTTTCAGACATAATCCATTGTGGCAATGGATACCATGAAGAGAATGATTCAGGAAACACTGAGTCCATATCAGAACTCTGATCGTCACACAATGAAGAGGACAGTGGAGTAAACATGGATTTGTGCTGCTTGAGGGCCACACTAGATGGT